GCTGATGGTGATGATAGTAATCATGATAATGATAATAATAATAAAGAAAATAATAATAATGAAAATAATAATAATAACAAAAATAATAATAATAATAATAAAGCACAGTCACAAATGGAACACATTGTGCAACACCAGTTCAGAGACTATTCTGTGAATGTTTTAATTTGTTTCAGTAGAAGTTTTACGGCACTCGCAACTGCATAAGGTCATATGAGCGCGAGAAGATTAGAGGCGTCACAAGAGAGTAACAAATATAAAAAAAAGAAGAAGGGGAGATAAGGATGATACATGTTTGATAAGAAAGAAGAAGCAAACCACACCAGAGCACCCGCCAACCACCCATCAATTCTGTGAATGACAATGGACTGACAATATGACGTTATGAACGGCACGATCGTTGGAACAAAGCAACAGAGTAGCCAACAACCACATGAGAGAATGGCAGATTGTTGCACGCCAGCCTCAGAGGACTCCAAGACAGACACGACACCTCCACAACCAACAACATTCAGAACGCTTGCCGCATTATGTACTCACCCGTCTTGACGAAAGCAGACTTGGCACTCCCCTCAGACCTGAGAGACGGGGCGGTGTCTGCAGACATTCCTATCCCACTGTCCGGGTAAGAAGCCGCAATGTTCTTGTTCCGTTGCTTCAGCTCCTTCTCCAGAGCTATTTTGTTGAACATTCTAGGCTTGGGAACGTCTACTCTATGTCCAGCTGCCGAGCCACCGGGCTGGTTAGCTGGATTGTAGCTGTCCACGCTCTGTTGACGCCGGGGGTTGTTGTTCGGTTTCGAGTTACGGTCGTGAACGTTCAGGCTTTTGGTCCGAGAAAGTTTGCTTCCTCTTCGCCCGTTCGCAGTTGAGGAACCGTTCGCTCCGGGTTTGGCTTGGCCGTGTTCGTCGACGGAGCTGGCGGTCCCCTCGTGAAAGCCCATGTCTTCGTCGTCGTAGTCTTTGGCAATGGGCGAGGATGGGAGCGAACGAAGCATGCGCTGGATGGTGTCGCTGTCGAAGGACATTTGTCCGGGAGCGTTGGGCGTCTGGGGTGTCTGTGGCGTCAGTGGTTCAGGGGGAGACGGCCATTCCGGGGACTCGGAGGACGAGGTGTGTCGTGACGCGGGTGTGGTCAAGCTCGTGTCCACGGTCAGAGTCGATTTTTGGCCTTTCGAAGAAGATGGTGCGTTTTCCTCTGGGGGCGGGGGCGGTGGGGGAGGAGGGGGTGAGGGGTCCCTTGGGGGAGGAGGGGACCCGGAAGAGGCTCGGAGAATCTGCGGGATCTTGGTGGAGTCACACGAAGTGTTCGTGGTAGAATCGTCACCGGCTATAAACGAAGTTTGAAAATGACCCCTGACCTGTTTCTGATCGGTCTGATCAAACCCGACAGGGTCAACGCGAACGGAGTTGTCTCTCTTGAGAATACCGTTAAGTTTGTCCGAGTTCGGGTTGTACACAGTGGGTGGGGAGGGCGAGGTCACACCAGATATACTCACGCTCACGATATCGCTGATGACCACGTGTTTTGGGCTGCTTCCCTTCTGCTGGGCCAGATCCGACACGGCCGAGGCGGGGCGCACGTGCGGGTCCACGTGACCTTTGAGTACACCCGCGCGACTCGGTGTGGTGGCGCCACTGCCCCTCCCGCCCGAACCGCCGTGGGTGTTACTTTTACTGGGAGTGGTGGCGCTTGACGAGGTCGATCCGTCCGAAGCCGCCCCGCTTCCCCCTCCGTCTCCTCCTCCCTTTTTCGCCGAGTCCGGCTTCCCTCGACCGCGAGGTGGGTACGTCATCTTGGTGGCCGGAGGAATCACCTGGGGACCGGAAGCGGAAGAAGTCGACTGGTTGGCGCGACCGGAAGGAAATGACCGTCTGAAGGCCGGGTTGCTCCCGCCCCCTCCCGCTGCTGGTTGCGCGGAGGAGGAGGCTGACGATGACGTGGCAGCCACACTGCTGTCGTCTGCAGAACCGCTCGGAGGTTTGCGTCGATGGATTACTGCATAGTCAGGGGGCGGGGATTGAGTGCATCTGGCTCCGCCCCCTCCTCCGCCATTTTGCGCTCCGTCGCGCGATGGGCTGGAGTTCGGACGTCCGTTGGGATTTTTAGAGGTTGATATCACAGTCAGACCTAGGGCCGGGTTGAAAAACAAATGAACAGAAAAAGCTTTGTAATGTTTTTGTTTTAGTACGTGTTTTACGGCATTTGCAACATAATAAGGTTATAAGGTGTTACAAGAGAGTAACAAACATAAAAAAAGGAGAGATCAGGATGATAGATGTTTGATAGGAAAGAAAAAAAACCCACAACAGAGCATCCGCCAATCATCCGCTTTGTTGTGTTTCTTGGTGAATAAATCTAAATAGAAATATCAGTATTGGACATGCAACTGTTAACTCCATCCAGAGTGAATTGCCCAGAAACAAGATATTATTACTAATAAACATCATTGGCAACAAGAAAGTGAATGACTTGTGAAAATAAGACGAGAACAAGAAGGATAAATATCAAAAGCCGTTACGTTAAGTCTTTCGGACAAAACAAAGAAGCGATGAAGACACGGGCAATGCACCTTGGTTGTTGTTTTTTCAACTTTGGAAATTTTCACAACCGTCTTTTACAAATCTTTTTAAAGCGCTATCTACCGGATCCATAATCGTGAGACTGCGGGCTCGGGGGTTCGAGCCTCAGCTCGGTCCAACGTTGTGTCCTTGGGAAAGGCACTTTACACGAATTTCCCATTTGGCGCGGTCCTTTCGGAGACGGACGTTGAACTCGGAGATCACGCCTCTTAAATAACCTAATAGTGTTGGTAGAGGCGTTAAATCTGTACAATTTCATCATTTTTGAAGCACTATTAGACATAACTATCTCTTTGTGAAATAAACACACAGTTCTCAGTATAGATAAAAGTTCAAGAGCCATTGTGTTAAGTGTTTCGAATAAAACAAAGAAGATGAGAAGACATGGACAATGCACAATAGGTTTTGTCTCACCTTGGGTATGTTCACAGCCGTCCTCTCCTCGAAGCTGTGACGTCACAGGATTGGAATGGCGCACCGGGGAGCTAGGAGAGGAAGCACTCGCCGCTTTGCTCCGTTGTCTCTGTGGGTGGGAGTTGGAGTAGAGAGAAGCACATCGATATAGTAACGGTCATTCATTTTCATAAAGTGCCTAATACGAGAAACATATCAGCGATCATGTACGTTTATTCCTTTGCTCGGATGCTCTAAAAAAAGCGACGTTATTCTGATCTTTCCCCGTCATGTATCTGTTTAAGGTCTCCAAGTACGTTGCTCTGAGTTTACCTCTGCCTCGTCTGCCTACAATTTTGCCAGTGAGAGCTAGATGTTCAAAGTCTTTATGTCTATCCAAGAGCCCTAGAAACTGCATTTATCTTTTCCAGGTTGTTTTTTTATCAGTCAGCGGCCCACGTGCGTTTCTTCAAGCACTACGCCTTTTGATTTCATTTTTCCGTCCAGTTGTTATTAAGAACATGAGCAAAGTTTAGTTTTAGTAAGGTTTTACGGCGCTCGCAACTGAATAAGGTCATATGAGCGCCAAGGGGTGGATGCCAACAGAGAAGTCCAAACAGGGAATAATGCTTACGCTGTTCACCTCTCCAGCCTCAATAGCAAAAAAGTCTGCTTCGACTATCAAGGCACCCCCGAAAATAGCAGTTCATAAGAGAGTGACAAACATACAAAAGAAGTAGAGGATAAATGATGATGGTAAGGGTGAGGAAAGGAAAGCAGCAGTTATCCTTCATTGTTCCTGCACAGTATGAGCATGACATTGATAAATCAGCCCATTTGCAATTCTACTGTGAATAAGAACATGTTAATATCCCCCCTTTGGGAATGGCCTAAAAACATTTCAGTCAGTAGCACTGCCCTGGTGGGGGGGGGGGGGGAGAAGAGGAAAAGAATAACAAACTGACAATAAACAAAAGAGGGAAAGACAAATGAAAAAGGACCGACCAATGGCGCATTCCAGTATTTCCAGTCACGCTCACTGGGTCAGAATATCACACTACAAAGCAGTGTTAAAAATACAGGGAGACAATAAGGGGGATACACGTACTTCAGCAGTGCGGGAAATGTAGAGAGGCTGGATCTGCTGCTGACAAACGTATATTAAGTATCATGCACATGCACGTTTAGTTTAGTCGAATATATGCAAGGGACCGCTGGTGTTTGTTTGCATGTTTGTGTTTGTGTGCATGTGCGTGTGTGTGTGTGTGTGTGTGTGTGTGTGTGTGTGTGTGTGTGTGTGTGTG